CAAGTTTTTTTCTCATTTCAAAAAAGGTGAAATGTTGATTGATGATAAACCTCATTCTGGATGTCCATCAATTTCCAGAACAAACCAAAATGTCAACAAATTCATGCACTTGTGCTCGAAGACCAAGGATGGACAATTGAATAGATGGGGAAGTTATCTGAACTATCTTGGAGCTTGGGTTCAGCGAATTTTAACCAAAGATTTGGGAATGAGAAGAGTCACTGCGAAATGTGTGCCTCTGGTTCTGACGGACCAAGAAAAAGCATCCAGTGGAAACATGCCACTGGACATGTTTCAGTCCAGCTGAACAGCTCTGAAGCAACCCAGACTTTTTGCCCAAGGTCATCACTGGTGATGAGACATGGTGCTATTCTTATGACCCCCAAAGCAAAAATCAATCAAGCCAGTGGAAGATGCCAGCATCTCCTCGCCCAAAAATAGCTCATAAAGTGAAATCCAAGATTAAGACAGTGCTAATTTCATGTGAGGGGGGGATACTGCATTGGAGTTTGTTCCCCAGGTCAGACTGTTAATCAAGCTTTCTATTTAGAGGTTCTGAAAAGATTGTGTAACAGTGTGCAACCCAAAAAAGCCTGATTGTGACAGAGGGGGGACTGGTTGTGCCACCACGACAATGCACCTGCTCACCCAGCCATCTCAGCGCACCAGTTTTGGCAGAAAACCCATGCCTGCAGAGCTTGCCACCTGTACCTTACTCACCTGACCTCACCCCATGCGACTTCTTTTTGTTTCCCCAAGTGCAGAGAGATATGAAAAGACAGCGATGTGACAATATAGAAGAGGTGAAAAAAACGAGGGAGGTGGTGTCAGCCATCCAAACAGATGAGTTTGAAAAATATTTCCAAGAATGAAATCACAGATTTGACAAACGAATTAAGTGTAATGGAGAGTACGTTGAAGGTGATAAGGTTGTCTTGTAAAAAAGAATTAAATACATAGCTTTGTAAAAAATTTGGGGTTTTTGGGGGTATCCCCTCGTGTAGTGATGCATTTTCAAATATTCTCTGCAGGAAAAAAAGAAACATATTTCTAAAAACATACTATTCTAATGTGTTTAAAGTGAAAGCTTACACTCAGATTAGGTTCCCGTTTAATAATTTCTTTTTTCCCCATTTAATAATTTCAATGCATATTGCATTTTAATAATGGCTACCTTTTCACAATGTGTTATCATTCTCCTGTCAACCACTCTGGTTGTACCATTTCCACTACTCTAGTTTCCCTGCCTCCTTACTTTGCTTTGAAGTACATGCTGACCATTTGGTCTCCTGTAGATAATTTTTTTTAAAGGAGTTCATTACACATGCATGATACTCTTTATTTAATGAGCCTAATCATTTGTTTGTTTTTGAGCCTAATTGTGTTTTAACTAAAAGGTGACCTCAAAGAATAATTCTTGATTAAGGTTTAAAGAGCATCTGGGGGCCATCGTGTGGGGAGTCCTCTAGTCTCAGCTGTTCCAAGTTTGGACTTTGAAGGAGTTGAGTGAGATGTAGTCCGTCAAAGAAGCCCGTGTGGTGTCGTGGCTATGAGTTGGGCTGCAAACCACAAAGTCTAAATTGGAAAAAAGGATGGGTCTTTCCACTTCTGTAAAGAACTGCAGCCTTGGAAACCCCCGGGGCAGGTCTAGCCTGCTCTTGAAGGAGCTCGGAGCCAGCATCGACACAGTGTTAGTGAGGCTAGTTTTTGTATCAGTATGGCCCTTCTAGCCATCATCCCGTCCAGCCTTTGTCTGCAGCTCTCATCCCATTTTGGAGGCAGTGCTCCGTTACAGGACTAAGGTGGGATGTATCCGTAATAGAAGTAACCTTACTAGAGGGTGTGAGTTAAATTCACTCCTTTGTTTCCCTTGGGGGTGTGATCTGCTAGTGGTGTATGGTGATGCGTTGGGCTGCAGTCCGCATGGTGGGCGTTTAAAACCACCAGCAACTCCCAGGGAGAAAGACCGGCCTTTCTACTCCCATAGATAGTTACGGTCTCGGCAACCCACAGGGGATCGCTATGGGTCAGCACTGAGAGGGAGGAACGGGCTCTGGAAGGACAAACACCACACTCGGAGCATCTTCAAGATCTCTGTCTGAAGTGTGGAACCAGCAGCACTGTGACATGGAGACCATGGGACAGAGCAAAGGAGCCGAGCTCCTTGAGCCCAAAGGCCAAGGCAAGGAGACCTTGGGAGGGAGCACAGGAGCAGTGCTGAGACGATGATCCTGTGAAGCAGGCAGTCGCTGGCAGGCTTCCTAGCCCACAGAGGCAGAAGCCACGGGACCACATGGCTGCTGACTGAGGACCAGACAGGATGTGCACCCTGACTGTATCCTTACTCTTTACTGCTCTTGGCTTATGGCAACCTGTTGACCTCCCTAATAAACTCCATAATGAGGAGTATTGTCTCTGGGTTCTCTGTGACCATTGCAACGAATTGTCAAACCCAGCAGAAAAGTAGAGTATTATGGGAGGAAGGGTTGGTGTCCGATGAAGGTAAATAAAGATAGAGGGGGGAGGCATGTCTGACCCCTGCTGTGGCAATAGGGTAGCCAGAGGAGGTCAGATACCGTCTCCTCCCTGTGCTGTTTTACCACACAGAGTTTGAGAACATATTGTCTTAGTTCTTCCTCTGTGTCAAGTGCTGGAAGAGTGCCTTTTGGATGTTGTCTAGTAGGAATTCAGCAGGCTGAGAACCGGTCCAGAGGCTCCGTGGCATTCTCCTCTCTGGGCAGGCTCTGTGATACCTGCCCTGAGTGTATCACAAAGTTCTTTGAGGACCAAAGTAGCAGGAGTCAATTGGAAGAGGCCTTCAAACTCCTAACAGTGGTTACCTCGTGGGGAGGGTTACCTTTTACTTTGAACGCCCAAACACTACTATCTATTGGATCCTGACTCGCAGTGATCCTGGATAGTTTTCATGCTCCATCTTTCTCCCATGGAGTAGCTAGTGGGTTTGAACTGCCAACCTTCCACTTAGCAGTCCAACACCTAGCCCACAGCAGCATCAGGGAGCCTTGCATTTTACTTTAGACAGACATTTTCATGGTATGCATTATGCTTGAAGTCATAAACTTTGAAGTAAAAGCATCATTTAAGTGTAGCGTGGAAAGTGTATGACAATGATTACTCTTCACTTCACATTTAATGATTCAACCCAACACCACAAGAAAAATAAAGAAATAATGGCATCTTAAAGTTCATTGTAAGCTTTCTGGAAATGTAATGTTTAGCTTGTTTTTCCAGTTGTTATGTGATTTTTAGTCACCTGAACACTACCAGAATAAATAATATGAAAATGGGTGAATCTTAATGAACTAGCGACGCTAACCTGTACAATGGTCTATTAGCCAAGATATTTTCCTCCACATTTAACTTTAAAGAGGGAGAAAACTACACATAAGGACATAAGCTCTTATAAACTTGTTTTACAAAACCCCATGGCTTATAGGGTAAGTTCTGGATAATTTTTAAGGTTGCATTTACTTGTATGTATATCAATGTCAATACCTACAAGTACATTATAGGAGACCTACAGCAGCAGAGTCAGTGTTGGGCTGCTAACCCAAAGGTTGGTGGGTTGGTGGGAGAGAGATGAAGCAGTCAGCTTCCCTAGAGAGTGATCGCATGGGAAACCCTATGGCAGCGCCCTGCTGTCCTAGTCAGCAGCTCTCAACTCAATAGCAGCGCATATTTAGTTATGATGACATAACAGGCCTTTTAGCAACACCGTCCAGTCTTGAGAAACCTTAGAATGCCTCTCTTGTTCAAGGTCCCCTACTAAAGAGCTCCTTATTTAGAAGTTGCCATGCCTGGGACCTTGTCATTTCATAGGACATCTTGACCCTGGCCACAGCTGAAGCTTGGTTCAATAGCAGGGCACAGTGCTAGGGACAGTTTCGTGTGAGAAATCTACCCTCTAGGGACACAGTAATGAGTATCTTTTGTTTAGCCAACCAGGAAAATATAATCCCCTTATTTTGGGAAACATTCCTTCTGACCATCAGAACAGAGCATCTTCAAGTTCAAGTTGAAGCTGAGGAAAATTTAAACAAGTCCACAAGAGCCAAAGTATCACCTTCAGTATATCCCACCCAAATATTTGACTCATTGAACACTAATGATCAAAGAACAGACGAGCTGTGGGACAACATCAAGGACATCATACATGAAAAAAGCAAAAGGTCATTAAAGAGACAAAAAGGGGAAAAAGATAGATCAAATTGAGTGTCAGCGTCTCTGACACTTGTTCTGTTATGTAGAGTAACTAAAGCAAATGGGGGAAATGATGATGTGAAAGATCTGAACAGAAGATTTCAAAGAGTAACTCAAGAAGATGAAGCATTATCATGAGATATACAAGGATCCGGAATTAGAAAGCAAAAGGGCAAAAGCGCTCAGCATTTCTCAAGATGAAAGAACTGAAGGAAAAAGTCAAGCCTGTGTGTGTGTAATCTTGAGGAGTCCGTGGACAAGAAGCATCCAGGGAAGATGGCAGAAATACAGAGCCATTGTTCCAAAAACAAGGAGCCCTGGTGGCGTAGTGGTTATCCATTGGGCTGTGAGCCACAAGGGCAGCAGTTTAAGACTACCAGCTTCTCCTTGGGAGAAAGAGGAGACTTTCTACTCCCTTAAAGAAATAAAATCTCGGAAACTCACAGGAGCAATTCTACCGTGTCTTCTAGGGTCCGCTATGAGTCAGCATCAACTTGATGGTAGTAAGTTTGGTGCCAAAAAGAATTGGTCTATGTTCAAACATTTCAAGACACAGCATTTGATCAAGAACTGATGGCATTGGAAGAAAAATTCAAGCTGCACTGAAGGCACCAGTGAAAACTAGGCTCAGGAATTGACAGAATGCCAATTGAAATGTTCCAACAAATGATCTAGACCAAGAAATCTGGAAGACAGCTACCTGGCAGTGACCTGATGGGATCGTATTTGTGTCCATTTAAAACCAAGGTGATTCGGCGAGGCTGGCGGGCGTGCGCCGAGCCCCGGCCCGGCCTCCGCGTGCCCCCGGGCTGCGCACCCCTGATGCTGCGCGGGTGCTGAGCCCTCTCTGGCCGGGACGATGGTGAAGTATTTCCTGGGCCAGAGCGTGCTCCGGAGTTCCTGGGACCAAGTGTTCGCCGCCTTCTGGCAGCGGTACCCGAATCCCTACAGGTACGTGATCCTGGGAAGGGCAACCCCTTGGTTGCTTGGAGATAGAAGTGGGCCACCCCGAAATTGGGGTGGGGGTGGGGGACCGGCCAAAATGGGCCTGCCTCTCGGGCACGAGGAAGCGGCCAGCCCTGGGAGGAAGCTGGGCCTGGGCAGTGGTTTATGCGAGCCGGCTGGGCAGGCTCTCCACTCCGGGGACGGTGTACGTGGAGGCGGCGGCCCTGGACTTGGGAGAGTTCGTGGGGTTGGAAATCCGGGCTCGTGCTCACACCTCTGCCCTCTCGCCGTTTCGCCAGTAGACTTGCTTTAAAGCGCGAGTGGCAGCCTTGAAAGGCCCTGGAATCCAGGTCAGCGAGAGGGCATGGTTTGGAATTTGCCCCTGGGGGTAGGCTCAAGGTACTCGTGCCCTCGCGTCTGGCCCACAGCGAAATTCACTCCTGGGGAATATCACTCCCGGGGAATAGCTGGCCGGACTGGGCGGGGAGGCCTCTGAAGTCGACCACCTCTTCCCTTCCACCTGCAGCAAGCATGTCCTGACAGAAGACATAGTGCACCGGGAGGTGACCCCTGACCAGAAGCTCCTGTCCAGGCGACTCCTGACCAAGACCAACAGGATGCCCCGCTGGGCCGAGCGACTGTTTCCTGCCAATGTTGCTCACTCGGTGTACATCCTGGAGGACTCAGTTGTGGACCCACAGAATCAGACCATGACCACCTTTACCTGGAACAT